AAGCCCCCCGTTCCAGCGAAACATGACCGCTGGGTTACGGTATATCGTGACGTCGCTGCCATCTTCGTCGTCTCTCAGCCCAAGGCCTTACCGGCATGGTAGTACCTGCCAGAGCCCAAGAACCGAGGCCCAAGGACCCCGCCGGCATCCCCTCCGGTCCTCATTGAGGCGGTCCAGTGGCAGCGAGCGCCCCCCTTTTAGTCGCCTCTTACGACAGGCAGGGGTTACCGTGGCTGTATTCTGATCCCCAGCCACAGGGAGAACACAGAACTAACCTAACCTAACTTAATAATAAATCCAAATAGTAAATCCACAAAACTAACCTAACCTAACTTGACCAAAATACTTTGTACTACACCAGTGTGGCAATAGATACACAAAACTACTCTAAACTTATGAAAAATACTCAAATCTAACCTAACCGAAAATAAACTTATGAAAGTCACTCAAAACCAACCGAATCCGACATAACCTAACCACTCAGATATACACGGTACTAACCTCACCTTATAAAATGTACACAAAATTGACCTCACGTGTGCAAAGAACCACAAAATCAAACCGACACAACCTAAATACACAAAATTAACTCAACCACGCCAAATAACAAAACTAACCTAACCTAACCAAGAACACAGGGTTTTAGCTGTCCGAATTTTGGCAGTCGGGATTTTGGGCTGTCTGGATTTTGGCTGTCGGGATTTTGGGCTCTCTGGATTTTGGCTGTCGGGATTTTGGGCGCCACCGAGGTGAAGTAGGACATTCCAACCAAATTGCACCAATTTCTGACGAGTTTGCAAGGAAGTGTGAGGTCTGGCGTTGTCCTGATGAAAGATAACACCCTTCCGATTTAAATTTATTCAATTAATTTTCTGTTTTAATACAAGAATACTAAAATGTCTGTAATTCCTAACAAAGAACATGCTTTTACTGAAGAAGATTCTTAGTTCTAATGATAACCGGTATCATGAAAATTATTGCCAGCATCGTTTATCATTGAGAAAGATCCAATTTAATTATTATAACTTAGCAAAACTTGTATATACATTATTTTATCGATCTGTAATAATCGCAGAGCGGTTTTGTGGGATGACTTTTGTTGTGTTCTGTTCAATATACGTGGAGATAATCACTTCATCTTAACGCATTAGCATCGGGAAACAAGAGTTCTCGTTTTTAAAAAATAAATGTTGTCGCCGGCAAACGAGAATTCTCGTTTTGCGACACATGTACGCTTTCTTGATAAATTCTTTGTGAAAAATAGCCCGATACGAATGTGTTAAGATAAATATTATGGTTTATATGCGAAGGCTCGTGCTTCAAATCATCATATCTTAGATCAGGGATTATTCATAAAATGATAAATCACTAACACAAAAATGTAATGCTGTATTCAATATATTGGTCATTTATTAATGGTAGTAACAGTTGACAATAATTATGTTTATTATATGTTTGATATGCTGTTGGCGTGACTCTTTTATTTTTATATTGGTTTGCTTTTCAATGTTCAAGTAGTGAATTCAGTTCTGACTAGTTAGTGCAGTTCTACCATTAATTAGCCATGGTTTTAAAAGATATTTCAAATGTAAAAACCGAAAAGTCGGGTGTGGAAGTACATAATTCATATTGAGGAAAAATATGCTATTGGAACAACTGGTTATTACATAGACATGTACAAGCAATACATGACCTGAAGTTCACAAATGATCGAGAACTACACTTGTAATTCACAACTAGCAGTGAAATGTGGCATGACAACGAATGTAGAAGAAAATCATAAAAATACGAGTGCGAAAACTTCAGGAGAACCAAGGAGACAAAACGAAGCATTTGCTATGTTAATAGCATTAAGGGCACAGACTCCTTCGAGGCCTCCTCCGAATCGATATAAGCGCCATTGGAAAGAATCGGCCAATCATGAAAACACTTAATTGAGAAATTTGACATTTGACGGTGTGACATCTAACGTCATTATGCAGAATAAGAAACGAAAGTGAGGTGGCGTAGTTGTTGAATCACATCATTTGAGAGTTCTGTCGCGGTGTTGCCACATCTGTGACAATCCTGATCATCTAGCAAATTGAATTCACTCGAGCCGAGCGAGATTTTAATTCCAGGCGGACATAGAAAAGGACAGCGCGATAGAAAGAGAAGGAGTATCATGAATGAAACAACGTGGTTAACCTTTACCAAAAGGTGGGAGGCAAATTCGGATGGGTCATATGTCACTGGAAAGCCCTTGACGAGAGGAACACAATGGTGTGGGTGGGAGGTCTTAAATATGTGACCTTGACCCGGTAGAGGTCAAATATATATATTGAGTTTACTCAAAAGCTCGACGTTAAATCCGGATGGGTCATATGTCATTGGAAAGCCCTTGACGAGAAGAACACATCGGTGTGGGTGGGAAGTCTTAAATATGAGACCTTGACCCGCTAGAGGTCAAAAACTAAAATGCCCCAAAACATATAAATTCTTTAACTTTTTTTTTTTCTTATTTAACGAGGAGAAATCTTCGAAAAAGACACCCCCAGAAGGGGGGTAGTGCCGGATTTCTACCGACTAAAACTCCTCGGCAGCCCTCCATCTAGCAAACTAGAGAAGGTACCGCGACCACTATAAAACCTAAGCTAATCCTAACCTAACCTAACTTAACCTAACCCTAACCTAACCTAAATATGGCGGTGGCGGCGCTGTATCTGCGGTAGTTTGCACGTTTGCTGTTTGCGAATTTATAGCTGGCTTTTGCCGCACTATTATGCCGCTAGTGAATCGGGTTTTAAATAAATGCGCTTCACTTTGTCTAGGAGATTGTTTATTTAATACAAGAGCCGCTTACCGCGGAGGTTGGTGATTACAAGTCACTGTTCGCGCAACTCGTTTAAACTTTGAAAGATACTGTACTCGCTCGCCAAGGATTGTTACTCTAATTGTTCTAATCGCCTTTGTTGTTCCGGCTCTTTTATAGATTCCGGCAGGCACACGGATTTGTTTCACGGAGATCCCGAGCGCCAATTAGGGGGCTCCGTGACCTTTTTATTGCCTTATTTGGTAATATGTTTCGCGACTTGTCTATGTGTGAGTGCCTGACACTCTTCCGTGCCGGGCCGGAGAGTGGGGCGCGGAGGCCGGGGTCAGGCCCTTTTTTCGTCTCCGCGTTCGACAGTTTTTTGCGATTCTTTTCTTTTTGTCCGGTTTAGTGCGAGATTGTTCTAGAACGGCTTTTATTACAATAAATGTTTAATTTAATTATTAATAATTTGTTAGCGATGCTTTCTTTCACAAACATTTCCGCCCGCCTCGATCACTCGTGATCGACCGTGACGCTTGGTCGCTTCGCTTCTGTGACAATATACCGCGCATACTCATTCACTCACACTCTGTGTTTATAAACAGTCTCATTCATTCTTCATTCACAGGCAGTCTGCATACTTGAGCGATCGGTCTGGTGTACTCAGTCGTCGCTGTTCTTACCCGAATCACTCGCACGAGATTATCCCCGCCCGCGAAAATCTCTGTTACCCTTCCCAAATTCCACTGAGTTGGAGAGAGATTGCTATTCCGCAGAAGAACTAAATCGCCGACACGCAACGACTCGCTCGCGATTCGCCATTTCGTTTTAGTTTGCAGTGTTGTCAAGTAATCCGCGGACCACAGCTTCCAAAATCGTTCATGGACTTTTTGTATTGCCTGCCATCTCGAAAGTCGCGAGTCAGCTACGTCTAACAACGAAGCGTCAGGCACGGACATTAAGTGAGAACCTGTGAGAAAGTGACCCGGGATTAGTGCATCGAAACTTTCGGGATCGTCACGAAGCGGACATAATGGACGCGAATTGAGGCAGCATTCTATTTTGCAAAGTAGTGTCGAAAACTCTTCGAAAGTGGGGTTAAAGGAGCCTAGTATTCGTTTTAAATGGTGCTTAACGCTCTTGACCCCTGCTTCCCATAGACCGCCGAAGTGTGGCGCACCGGGCGGGATAAACTTCCACTCCACTCCCCGCGTGGCCACGTCGTTACAAAATTCGTTATCCGAACTAAGGTTTCGTATTCGCGACCTAATTTCGTTGCACGCGCCTTTAAAATTTGTGCCGTTGTCGGAAAAAACTTTCGAGGGCAGGCCTCTTCATGACGTAAATCGCTCGAACGCGGCTAAGAATGTGGCTGTGGTATAGTCGCTGACTAATTCTAAGTGTACAGCCCGAACGCACAAACAAACAAACAGCGCGAGGTAACATTTTCGTGTTTTTTGCCCGCGGCCTTGTGAGACGCGGCATGCAAATGGGCCTGCATAATCGACTCCCACAATACTAAACGGGCGACTTGGGGTTACGCGTTCTCGTGGCAAGTCTCCCATTTGCTGCTGTAAGGTTTGTGCGCGCTGTCGAACGCAAATTACGCATTTCGCTATTAGCCTTTTTACTTGGGTTCGCGCGTGAATGACCCAATACTGCTGGCGCAGGGTTCGCAGTGTCAGTTGCAGCCCTCCATGCTGCGTCATGATGTGCACGTGCCTCAAAATTAGTGAAGTGACGTGGCATCGCGGAAGTATTATCGGATGTTTCTCCGATTCAGGCAGAGGTGAGTACTTTAAGCGCCCACACACGCGAATTATGTGATCTTTATCTAAATACGGGGAAAGAGCCAAAATTGAAGTTTTAGTTAGCATTCGTTTTGGTTTAGCAAGTTCTCTCAATTCTGTTGGAAAGTGATTAGCTTGTGTCAGTTGAAAGCATTTAGTTTTTGCGAACTGTATTTCTGTCTTCGAGACGACCTTGCCTTTCTCTGTGTTTGGACTTTTTCTGCACGCGTTGTAGAATTTGTACACGTATACAAGTACTCTCAATAATTTAGGCCAGGAAGAGAAACGAGAGAAGATCTCCAACGGTTCCACCTTGTGATCTACGTTTGAAACCACCTGTACCGAACATTCCTCGCCGACCTGCTCGTCCCTTGGAGTGAACCCTTGCTGTGGCCAGCTCTCCGAGGGATCTGACTCTGACAGCCAGCTCGGTCCACTCCACCAGAGATCATGTGTCCTGAGATCCCTGGCTGAGCATCCTCGCGACGCACAATCGGCGGGGTTTTGCGTCCCTGGAACGTGACGCCACAGAGCCGAAGGTAAGCTCGTTTGCGCTTCTGATACTCGGTTTGCTACGAAGGTCTTCCAGTTTCCTGGAGGTGCATTTAACCAATCTAATACAACCTTTGAATCTGACCAACAGACGATGGCATCGAGTTTGACTCGCAACGCCCCAAGAACAAAATTGATCGCCCGACTCAACAGCTCAGCCGCGCAGAGTTCAAGCCGAGGAATGCTCTGCACTTTCAACGGGGCCACCTTAGTTTTTGCATACAGCAGCGTAACCTTTGTTGACGAAGACTCTACTCGGATATACACCGCTGCAGCGTACGCTAAGTGAGAGGCATCACAGAAGCCGTGTAGCTGCACCGTTTTTATCTCCCCTCCTACGCCTACCCATCTAGGAATCGAAATATCTCTTGTGTAGAAGAGCATTGAGTGAAACTTCTCACAATCGCGTGCTAAATCTGGAGGTAAATTGTCGTCCCAGCTAACTTTTGCCAACCACAACTTTTGTAAGATTATTTTTCCTTGAACAATAAAGGGTGCTATCCAACCTAACGGGTCGTACGTTTTTGCCAATAGCGATAAGAATGCCCGCTTCGTATATTTCTTAAGTTCGGGAGTATTTGTATGGAAATGAAAGACATCGGAGGAAGGGTTCCACTGAATTCCTAACACCTTAACCCTTTCGTCATCTTGCAAGGTTCTGCTAACCGCTAACCCATGATCCTCTGCTGGGATATCTTTGAGGAGTGACGAAGAGTTGCTTGCCCATTTCCTCAATTTAAACCCGCCCGCCATGAGCAATTGGTTCAGCTCATCGCGCATGTCTACTAATAGCGACGGATCGTCTGCACCGAACATAGCATCGTCTACGTAGAATTCGTCTAACAAGATGGCTGCTCCCAACGGATACTTTTCGCCTTCGTCTTTCGCGAGTTGTTTTAAGACGCGATTGGCATGAAAGGGTGCACACGCCGTGCCGTATGTGACGGTTTCCAAACGATAAGCTGCTAGCGGAGAGTTTTCTGAAGGACGCCAGAAGATACACTGATATTTAGTGTCTTCGGGTGCTACGCGTATTTGGCGGAACATTTTCGCAATGTCCGCCGTGTATACGAAGCGGTGCCAACGCCACCTAATCAGTATCGCAAACAGATTTGCTTGCAAATTGGGCCCTACGTGGAGGCAGTCATTCAAAGATTTACCGTTAGAGGAGCTCATTGAAGCATTGAAGACTACGCGCAATTTCGTGGTCTGGCTTTCCTGACGCAATACAGGTAAGTGAGAAATAAAAACTTTATCGTTTAAAGATTCGGTTTCCCTGATTCGACTCATGTGACCTAAATCAAGATACTCTTGCAAAACGGTCTGATATTCCCTATACACCTCGGGATTCTTCCTTACTCGCAATTCGGTTGACTGAAAGATTTTCCTCGCAATATTTGCAGTGTCCCCGACCGTGAGCTTGGGGTTTTTTGCGAACGGCAACCTAACCTCGTAACGTCCGTCGATACGGCGGCGGTGAGTCTCTTTGAAATGGTTTTCACAGTCTAATTGATCGCGAGTTAATCCTAACCCCTTTGGAGTCTCCTCTAATTCCCAGAATTTTTTCAGATTTTTATGCAGATCGTCGAGTATCTCAACGTGATGGACTTGCAGCCCCGATCGCAAGCCTCCGTGTGTTGGCCCACACGATCCCGACAGGACCCAGCCAAACACGGTACGCTGCGCGATCGGGGTGCCGGGAGGACCTTTTACCACCCCATCCAGCATAATTTTGCCGTATTCGTTAGCCCCGATGAGTAAGTCAAACCCTTGAAAGTCACTGGGCTGTGGATCAGCAAGAGGTAAGTCGACTAAGTGCTTCCATTTTGAATCGAATTCGAAAGCACTCGGAGTGTAAGAGGTTAGACTCTTTAATACCAGAGCCGAGAATCTAATTTTGGCTTCCTCCCTATCTTTTAGATTACAAGAGGACATCTCTAGTTCGACCGCATGTCTTACCCTTCCCGCGCGGACCCCCCCTATTCCAGAGAGATTTACCGCGACAGGTAATTTTTTGGGTTTCAAGTGGTCTGCTATGCGTTCGGTCACACACGTGACCTGCGAACCCTGATCCAGCAGTGCGCGCACGAGAATAGTTCTGCCGTTGTCCGCGGTAATTTTGACACACGCGGAAGGCAGCAGTGCTTTATTAATGCGAGAATAAGCTACATGGCACGTGGATGATTGCTCCTTCTCATCCTGCTGAGAAGTGGAGGGTAAATCAGTCTCTGCTGCCTTCTGCTGTGTTTCAGCAGCTCGACCGCTGCTGACATTGGAGTCGACGTTTTTAAAGTGCACCAACGTGTGGTGTTTGCCGTGACAGGCGACGCAGGCTGACTTTGAGAGGCATTTTGCTGTACCATGCCCCGGTTTTAGACAGCGAAAACATAAATGATTCTCGAAAAGAAAGGCACGCCGTTCATTGACGTGTTTCTGCTTAAATTTGTTACAAGTTGCTAAGGCGTGGCTTGCTTTGCAGAATGCACACTTAATAGCACTAGAGTCAGTCTGATGTGACACTATAGACGTGCGTTTATCTGAACTTCGCTTTTTAATCCTTGACTCGTCAGTCTGCGCCGTCTGTTTGCTCGATTCAACCGCATCAAACGCGCGTATCCGGCAGGTTATGAATTCGTCCAATTCTGCGAACGATGGCAGCGCGGTGCTGCTCCCCAATTGAAGTTCCCAATCATTCAAGGATGCGCGGTCTAGTTTTGAGATTATTAGAAAATTGAAAAGGTCATCCCAGCTTGCTACCGGTCTCCCCAAATTAGTTAATGCTTGACGAACATCGTTCGCCTTATCTCGCAGGTTGCGCAATTCCTTGGCAGATGGGCGGTTTATATTGGGTATTTCTGTGAGCGTTCGCAGATGTGAGTGGACTATTAGACGCGTGTTATCGTACCTTTTTCTCAGGAGTTCCCATGCTGTGGTGTAATTTGACTCTGTTACCGCGATATTCTTTAGAGTTAAGGCGGCTTCGCCCGAAAGACTGGATTTTAGATAATGAAGTCTCTGTACCCCTGTTAGTGCAACGTTCTGATCTACCAATGCCAGAAATAAGTCACGATAATTCTCCCACTCATGAAAGTCTCCTGAGAAGGTCGGCATTGTAATTTGCGGTAATTTAATTGAGTTCACGACGTTTTGCGAATTAGCAATGTGACTTTCGTCAAACGACGACTGCGCGACCGGCGGAGGCTTTAATTTCGCGAGGTATTCGTTAAAATAATCGCACGCTTCTTCAAATATACAAGATGTTTCGACAAATAAATCTTTGACAAAGTACTCATCCTTTGCAGTTGCTTCCTTGTCTGCCAGCGCGAGGATCTGCATGTGCTGCTGGACGAACTTCTCCCAGTATCCCCGTAGGTTGCTGAGCCTGCTGCTGGTGACGGTTGTGGTTCGCTGCGCCTTTCCCAGCTTAGTGAAGTTGTCCACTGCTCGGCTGATGAGACCCCTGGAGGCGGATTGAGCTGCGTACAGCTCCTTCAGGGACAGATCCTTGGAGGCCATGTCGGTTGATTGACTCCGTGTAGCGTGTTGGAGGGTGTCGCTGCTTCAGTGAAGCCCAGGCACCTTTGCTGGCAAATTTGTGCGTCCCGGTATAATCCGGTAAAGGGTGTCGCTGCTTTTGAAGCCCAGGCGCCGTGTTTTAAGCACAAACTGCACTCCCGATCACTATATCCGGCTCGAAGGATCACTTTTACTGATTGCGAATTTATAGCTGACTTTTGCCGCACTATTATGCCGCTAGTGAATCGGGTTTTAAATAAATGCGCTTCACTTTGTCTAGGAGATTGTTTATTTAATACAAGAGCCGCTTACCGCGGAGGTTGGTGATTACAAGTCACTGTTCGCGCAACTCGTTTAAACTTTGAAAGATACTGTACTCGCTCGCCAAGGATTGTTACTCTAATTGTTCTAATCGCCTTTGTTGTTCCGGCTCTTTTATAGATTCCGGCAGGCACACGGATTTGTTTCACGGAGATCCCGAGCGCCAATTAGGGGGCTCCGTGACCTTTTTATTGCCTTATTTGGTAATATGTTTCGCGACTTGTCTATGTGTGAGTGCCTGACACACAGCAACATTCGCTTGGACGTTGAATACGGATTTTGTACCCAAGGTGGCCAGGATACACCTTGCGAATGTCGTTTATGAACCGTGCAAACTGTTGGGCAAACGATGTAATATGCCGCACAATGTTTCGCCGATACAAAAATTCGCCGATGTATGGAGGCACTCGCTGGATGCTGCGGCAGATTCGGAGGTGTTTCTTTAATTCCCGCCACTGCCGTTCAATAGAATTTGTATTAACAGCTATTTCCCGGACTAAGGTGGCGTCTGTGACCTCCCGTCCAAGACTTTCATGAAGCCCTCTAACTTGCACCGTTCCCTCAACAAATCTATGACGATGATTAACGGTAGAGTGTCCTTTTATGTTAAGGCGCCTGTCACAGCCACGATAGGACCGGTGCTCATCAGAAATGATCCATGATTGAGCTTGCACTCGTGTTGCAATAATCGGATCCAGACTACTTCGCCTCTTGTCTTGGATGTTTTCGACCCACATATCACCTGTTAAGCGACTGAAAGCACCAAAAACCCATACCTCCTCGCGATTCATGCGGAGTACCCTGCCGCGGCCGTACTTTCTAGTAAATAGATGACTTTCGTCCACCTCAACGACATCTTGATTTCCACCGATTGGACGGTAATCATGGTCTTGGACGACATCCATGACCTCTCGAAAGAAATTAAACCAATCAACGCAACTTTTCTCCGCGAGGCCAGTGGAGGAGGATGCGTACGTTAAACGATCTTTTACGAAAAAATGAAAAAGTAGACGCGCTACTGCCAAGGGGCAAATGTGCGCATTATGAAAAAGAGTGTGCTGTTTAGGAGAGCTAACCCGGCACACCCTAGTACACACCCACCTGCACCCAATACCATTTTCACCAGTACGATCCTCTCTCCTTTCTGCCTTCATCTTTCGGCTACAGGAGCACTTTCGCTCATCTGGAATGATTCCCCACGCAAGAAAAGCGATCCATGCTTGATCGGGCGTTAAAATTGCTGCACCATAGGTCCAAACACTTAGCTGCCCCTGGAGGAGCATACGGTACGGCTCGTACGCTCGAATACGATTCTCCGCAGATGCTTTCACGATCTCATACGGAGACATTTTAACTAATTTACACTAACTAATTACACTAACTAAGTACACTAATTATTTTATCTAAACTATAGTAACTAAACTTAAAAAACTAACTATAAGCACGTGGGTGATCGGACAATCAGAAATTTACTCGTACGCACGTGTTATCACAACGATTACTCGACAAAGAAGAAGGAAACAACCGAAGGAAAGATCGTAATCTACCTGGATTTCGGTTAACAAAAGGTAGGAATGCGCGGTAACGTTAATTACCCGCATCGCGCATCCTTTTTTATCATAATCCAGCGTCCGGAGCGGGTCTATCTGGACGAAAACCTCTCGCACAACAAA